CAACATAAAAATCTCTCAAAATGATTTTTGATCCTATTGGAAATAAAGTCGAACCCTCTTGTGCGAGTTCTTGTAAACAGCGTATAGCTAAGAATGATGCTGAAGCTGTGCCATATGTTATAGTGGCGAGTTCGAACGTTTTCAACTCATGCTGTGGAGTATCACGCCAAAAAATACGTTGAAGGCATCGCTGAGATGGATCAACAAGAACTTGTCTATACATCTTTACAATGTTGGCTGTCATTGCAAAGCAAAATGTACGAAAACGAGATAAGATTGAGAATAAATCCTGTTAGATGGTAGGACCAACAAGCAAAGCGTCATTTAATGACTTTCCCGACTTAGATTTGCACGAGGCGTCAAAGACAACACGCAGCTTGGTTGTAGTGCTTGTGTTGTTCAGAACTGCGTGATGAGGCAAATAATATTGAATATTGTTATCATGCTCTGCTGTTACTTCAATCGGATACATGTGATTAAGGTCCTGATATTCACGCATAAACCTACGATACTCCTCATAAATATCAGGTTGTTTCGATAATCGTCTTTCCAATGCGAAAAATCTACGTTCTGCAATTTCTCTGGATTCGTCTACTTGCGAGATTATCTCATTTCTGATGAGAAGTTTGACGATGAACCTATCCTCATCATTTCGCAGAGTACTTTCCTGAAAAAGTGTCTCACAAGCAAGCTCCTCAGGTGAAAAGACATTTGTGTTATGACGATAATTGTCTTCTGTTCAAAATTCCCGCTCGTAATGCGGATATAAGCCGCTCGCCCGAACGGCAGAGGGCGAGAGACTGGCGCCACAAAAAGGAAAAGGAGGCGCCCCCCGACAGAACTAGTAGTACGACGCACGTGCAACGAAAAAGTGGGCCCACGAGATTATATTTGAGATCTTTTATATCGAGACCGTACTGTGTCAAGGTGTGGCCCTTCAAAGGCCATTCGGGATCTTACGTCCCTTCACGCCTCAAGAGGCGGTCAGTGTATAGGTTTGGCCCTTCAAGGCCATTTGGGATCTTACGTCCTTTCACGTCTCAAGAGGCGGTTAGTGCACAATCTTTCTACACCGTATGGGTGTATGATTCTAGAGATTTGGTCAAGACTATTCGGGATCTTACGTCCCTTCACGCCTCAAGAGGCGGTTAGTGCACAATCTTATACACCGTATGGGTGTATTATTCCAAAGGTTTGGTCAAGGCCATTCGGGAATCACTTCCCTTCTTGCCTCACTAGGCGGTTAGTATACCCCTCTCGTTGTGCGCCACCTTGTCGTGGTGAGAGGGCTCACCGTGGGGATACCTGAAAAGGTGTTTCTGCGGTGCTAAGAGCGCACAGTTCCTTCTTAGGAGGGAACGGGGGTCCGGCTACCCCTCAAGGGACTTGTCCCGATTAGCCGGTAGGGGTTGGCGGCCCTGACTTCAATCGCCCGGGTGCCCGGACTCGATAGGTGTGTTTTTGGAAAACACACCCCCGGGATAGAGGAGCTTACCTCGATAAAAAAGCCGGGGCCTGACCAGCCTCGTTAGCACGCCGGTGCTCCAGCATAACGGTCGAGCCTCCATTGCACGAGGGGAGCGATAGCGTCACATACCGTAACCTCAGTTTGTGGGGTCGGGGGCCGGTGATAGTGTGGTGGCACTTTCACGGGCTGCGAGGGAGGAAAAACCTCTGTAAAAAGACCCGGGTAGACCGAGCTCGTAAGTCTGGGGTAGGCAGTCGGTCTAAGAGAGGAAAAACTCTGATATAAAATCCGGTGAAGGACACACTGTTAACAAATCAATTTTTCTTATATGGACATGGACAACGAAAAAGGACAAAGTGTACCGTCTTAGGGGATTCGGACCCCCAGGGACCGGCGTAGTGGGAGTCCTGTCCCGGCTCCCGCTGCATCGTCATCCAGCGTCGGGCTAACCACTAGGTGTTCACCGAGCCCAGTGGTGAACACTGTGATCGGTTCAGTTTATAGGCTGTACAGACATGCGGTTCGCGTGGTGGACAATTTCCCGGGCACGCAGCGGAACTTCGTGGCTGATCTGTGCAAGATTTTCTGTCTATTTGCAGACAGATTGAAGTGTGGCAAGGATCTATGTAGGTGTGAACCTGACAAGGCCGTGTCCATGTTGAAGACAATAGGTATGGATGGAGAGAGCACGCTCCAAACCACAAGGAGGGAGATGGCTGATACCATCATAAGGACATGGTCAATTTTTGAGGGCTAATTGGTGTATGGGAGTCCTAAAAATAATATAAAGGAAACTTACCTGCATGCGTGCGTTGTCCTGGCGGCGAGTGTAGACCTCCTCGGCTGGGACCTGAAACAGAAAGAAGAGGTTAGTAGGGCAATGGAATCCTTACGAGTGGAGGGTATATTGTACGAACACGGTCATCTAGTGCAGGACTCTCCGAGTAAGGCGGACCGCACCCCTCTTCGTCTGAGGGGTGGAATTGGTCCTCCTACTTTCAAGGAGGGGCAAAGGAAGAGCAAATTTCTGGACGAAGTTATGCATGGTAGTCCGGATTCTTCGGATTCGGATTCGGACTATGCACCCAGGGTTACGTCCCTTGAGAGATTGGCCCCTGGCACAATTATAGTGGAGAGGAGACCAGGTATGGAAGAGGAAAAGAAGAAAGAAGAGCTGAAGAAACCCCCCACTGAGGTGGTGGAGATGACCATCTCCTCTGATGAGGAGGGTAATGTCCCACCCCCTACTGCGGGGCCATCAGACTTGTTAATGGAGGAAAAGTCTGATTGTGGATCAGGAGAGGATTTCCCTCCTTCCAGGCCCTACTCGGGTCCTGAAGAGGAGGACGCATATCCTCAGAATCAGTGGCGCCTCCCTATGCTTCATAGAGCACAAGGAAGGCTCAAAAAGGATGGGACTAGTCCATTTAAGGCCCTGTCCACGTCCGGATCGGAAGGAGGAAAGGGGATCACTCGGAGGAAGAAGGGGAAGAATCTCCCTTTTAAGGAAGAGGATACGGAGATTGCGGGGACCTCCGCGTTGATGGTACGCTCACCGCCTCTTACTGGGGATCAGCGTGCTGCTGCTGAACATCGACTACATCAGATGGAGCGTGGGTCGGCGGGGGAAATTGTGCTCCACGCCGATAAGTGCCTGGATGAGATCGAGCATGCTAGATCGATCTCTTCAAATATGAAGGGATCCCTTAGCGGGAAGATCAAGGTGAATGTATACCTCCTTAGAGAGGTTCTGAGGACTCTGGCCACTAAGGCGGATAAAGTAGGAGACCCGGGATATTAGAAATCCCGGATCAATGTGGTGGAGAGAGATAACACGGCCTATAAGGCCCAGAACGAGAATCTCATAAGGAAACTGGCCAAGGCGGAGAATGTTATCCGTTTCTTGAAGGCAAATCCCTCCAACCCGGAGGGCCTATTGATTAGGGACCCAATGTCCTCCACTCTCGGAAGGGAACCGTTGGGGCGTTCGGACGTGGTAAGCGGCACTGTTGCCGCATCTATCAATCCGATCGACCCCAATATGGATACAGATCTGGAGTCAGACGTTCCGCGTTCGCGCTCGCGTTACATTCCAGAATCGGATAGAATGGGATTTTCTCTCGTCAGGAAGATCCAAAGGTCATTGACTTCGATGACCGAGGAGATGAAGAGGATTAAGGACCGCATGGATTCCCTGGAGCTGGGCGGACGAACCGTCCCTGCTCCGGTACAACCGGGTCCCAAAGAGAAGAAGAAGAAGAAGAAAGGGAAGATGGGGTCCGGTGCCGCACCCCCCCAGATGTCCCTCACACCCCGTGAGGTGGAGGTTATATCGGAGGGGAATTTACCGACAGGTGGGCCCGTACCTCCCATTCGGGAAACCCCCAGACGGAAACCATCTGGACCACCGTGGTGAAAGGAGGCAGAAGAAAGAAGGGAGGCATAGGGCCTCAGAGGCCTCCTATACCCCCCCCCCCCTACCACTGCCAAGAGGGATGGGGAAGCGCGGTTGAAGCAGCCCTTAAAGGGCCGCCTTTCCCGTGCGGGGATTAAGAGGAAGCTACCGCGCTCCGCGGCTGTGGCGATTACAACCGACAGAAGCTATGCGGAAGTTATGAGGATGGCTAAGGAGAAAATAGACATCAAGAACCTGAATATCAAGTCCTTGAATATTACCGGTACCGGTTAGTATACAATCTTTCTACACCGTATGGGTGTATTATTCAAGGTATGACGAAACGTAATTATATTATGCTTTATATTATGATTATTTGTATTATTCTGTCAAAAAACAATTATTGTAACCTATTAAAGTTAGTTTGAGTTTATAATTTACAAGTTATATGATTAATTTTGCAATTAACTATAGTTTTCAGTTTTATTTTGGTTTCTGATTTCATGTTCATACTTAAATTATATTTAATACTGGATTTTAATTGCATACTATGATTTCACAATTCATACATCTTTAAAAATTTATAAAAGTTGTTAAAAGAATATAATATAGAAAGATTACATCAGATATTTTATTCATAAAGTCTTCACGATTTATGTCACAATGATAGTAACATGTATATTTATTATATATATTATGTGATTGTGCCTGTTTTATGTATAAATGCTTGATTTGATTATAATATCCTTTCACATGTAATATGCCATTTGCAATTTTATTTCTTTTTCTTGTATCGTTTATTAAATTTTCTAAATACAGATTTTTCATAGGAACTATTTCTCTTTATTCAAACGAAGACTATAAGTATACGGTATAACATACATAGAAATCAAACATCTTCTACTTGCCAAAATTTGGAGATGACCTTGTTAAGATCGTCGATTGTACTTACATGACAAAGAGCAGCCTTTCTTTTTCTCTGATTGAGAGGGTCAACGCACCACCTTCTTTTTTCCACTCCTCCGGCCTCGGTATATGCACTTTAAAGCGCCTATCAGAAGCCCGAATAATAGGTATTCTGTCCTGTCGCATCTCGAATATCGGATCCAACAGAACGTCTTCTGGCAGCCTCGTATGCTAGGCTCCCTTCTTCCATTTTAGTTCGCATCTCAGACGGTATGCCGCCATTGCTGAAGCAGCCACTACCACCTGGTGAAACAGCTCGATGCCGAACATTACGCCCATCGCCGCCACTGGTGTTGTAACCATAGCACCCAGGGCCCCTCTCAAAATCAGAGCCCTGACATGCTCCAGCGCAACTTTGGCTGTTTTCTTTTGCACCCTAGTCCACCATACTACGGCTGCGTATGTGAGTCTGGGGCGAAGTATGGCTATGTAGATCCAGTGTATCATACTCGGTTTCAAACCCCAAGTCTGACCAAAGGTCCTTCTGCACATCTAAAAATACTGGCACAAGCTTTTGCACCGGCTACGAAGGTGCTCCTCCCAAAACATTTTCCTATCCAGAATAACTCCCAGATATTTCACTGATTCAGTTGGAACTAACCTTATTCCTCCAAGAGTGGGTCCCACAATGGTGCCTACCTTGTATTTGCGAGTGAAGACAGTAAGACCAGTTTTCAGTGGATTCACCGTTAAACCCGTCCTCTGACACCACTCTTCTACGACTTCCAGTGCCCCCTGCATGAGCTCTAGAAACGTCTTTAGAAAGGGGACTCGCACAAGTATTGCCACGTCATCCGCGTAGACTTGTGCAATGAAGCCTCCATCGTCCAGTGCCTTTAATAATCCGTCTGCTACCAGGCACCAGAAAAGTGGGGAAAGTACTCCGCCCTGCGGGCAGTCTCTTCCTACCCACCCACAAACCTTTGCAGTTCCCAGCGAAGTCATCACACGCCTTCCTAGCATGCCCCGGATCCACTCGACGAACTTCATCGGGACACCTCTTCTGGTGGCTTCCTTACACACTACCTCGTGCGGTGTGTTGTTAAAAGCGCCCTCTATGTCCAAGAAAGCACCCACTGCGTAGCCCTTCCCTTCCAGCTGCTCCTCAATAAACGCTACCGTTTGATGTAGAGCAGTCTTGGTGGAATAGTCCGGACAATACGCGTGCTGATTTTTATGGAGAGGATACCTCCACAGAGTTGTCTCCCTCAGATACGCGTCCACCAGCTTCTCCAATGTCTTAAGGAGAAACGATGTTAGGCTAATTGGCCTGAAATCCTTTGCCTTGGTGTAGCTCGTTCTTCCCGCCTTTGGGATAAACACTACCCTGGCCAGTTTCCATGCGCTGGGTGTGTAGCCCATCGCGATACATGCTTTTAAGGTTCGAGTCAGTGGGCCCACGATCTGTTCCAGTCCCTCTTGTAGAAGAACCGGAAAGACGCCATCCGGTCCCGCTGACTTGTAGTGCTTAAAGGTGTTAATTGCCCATTTGACCTTCTCGGGTATGACAATCTTAACCACCATTCGCCAATCCGCTTGTCGGGCTCTTCTGAGTGAGCCCAGCTCCTTATATGCAAATAGCTCTCCCGGCTCCCTATGGAAACCCGGAAAGCTCACTTCCAGTAGATGCTCCAGACATCGCTCTCCAGTCACCACCGTCCCATCAGGGAGTGCGATGGCTTCCAGGGTTCCTAGCGAGGATCCTGCAGATTCTTGCCGTTTCGGGCATTCCCTCTACTTCCTCGCAAAACTTCCTCCAGCTTTCCAGTTTCGCCCTAACCACCGAGTCTCTATACTCCTTCTGTGCCCTCCTAGAGAGCTCCCAGTCGGGTTGGCGGCCTGTATTCCTAGCACTATTCCAGGCCCTGCGAGCCGCCACTCTGAGACCCTGCAGTCCAGGGGTCCACCAGAAAGTTCCTCTACTATTTGTAACCGCCCTTTCGGGGCAATTACTTTCGTAGCAGTTTACCAGAGACTTCTGCAAGTAGTCCACACAGGTCTCCAGTTTGTCTTCTGTCCCGTGCCTCTTAGGGAAGCCTCTGAGACTACTGGCCAGGTCTTCCCTATAAGAATCCCACTTGGTTCTCCTCGGGTTTCTGAATTTTACCCCCTTCCCCCTAGCCTTAGCTATCCTGATGAAGGTGATCTGCCTGTGGTCCAAAAGCGAAGGCTCCGTCGAGACCCTCCATTCCACTACCTCCTGTATCAACTGCCTGGAACAGACAGTGATGTCGAGCACTTCTCTTCTCGTTATAGTGCAGAAGGTGGGCTCGTCTCCCGTGTTGAGACTCTCCAGATCCGTGGATGCTAGGAACTCCAACACTTTCCTTCCTCTTTCGTTGGTGTCCGAGCTTTCCCACACAGTGTGATGCGCGTTAGCGTCACATCCCATGATCAGGGAAAGCCGCTTCTCCTGGCAGTATTCTGTCAGTTTCATCACCGGTGCAGGCGACACCGCCTCCCTCTCGTCATGCGAGAAGTAGGCCGAGCAAACGACCATTTTCCTCCTGTCACCGGAGTCAGCAGTGAAATCCACTTCTACAGCCGCAACGTCTCTGGAACACAGGGGAGGTATTAGCTGGGCTTCCATACCCTTGACGGCCACGCAGGCCCTGGGCCGATCCACTGATGGGGCCCTAAATAGCCTACCGCAAGCCGCCAAGCCCCTGATGCAACCCTGGATTACCCAGAGTTCTTGCATCAGTGATATGCATGTTTGCTTCTCAGTTTGTTGCCTGGCCAAAACAGCCAAGGCCCCTTTGCTGTGATGCAGATTAATCTGGGTAAAAGCCACCCCTCTCGATCCCACCATATAACTACGAGACCGTTTTAGGGGACTCCTCCTTATCCCCCCTTACCCCCCCCTTGGGCCCACTTACCCGAAAGGCAATCCTGTCGAGCCCAAAGAATGGTTTGAAGTTCAGTGTCCTCAAATTGAGGACACTAAACTCCGGGACACCAAGAACCAGGTTCCCACCTTCCTTGGTGGCCCCTACCCCCTCCGCGAACACTTTCCAGCTCCTGGTGACAGACCTGGGTTCTGCTTCTCCAGCCGCTTCAAGACCGTGGCCGCGCCCTCGGGAGGTCCCGGGACCCAAACCACCGCCCTGTGCTGCCTTTGAAGCGCGTCCATGCCCATCACCTTGAGCTTGACGCCTTCCCACGGAATGATGCCGCCGATCCGCCCCACGAGCCAATCCAGCGACGCCTCGTCCGCGCATCTTACCACCGCCGCACCGCTCCTTAGAGAGGTGCTGTGGAATCTGGGCACCGGACCCTCTTGGATCCCGTCGATCTCTTTCGAGACCGCACCTTTCAACAGAGTCAACTGCTCTGCAGTGATCTCTGCCTCGGGGTAGCTCTCCGCCACAATCACTCTCGCCAGAGGGTCAGCAACGTCCGAATAGGCATGGTGCCCATCATGAGCCCTTCGCCACTTCAGCGGACGGCCGCCCGATGGAGGGGTTTCATTGGAGCCCTTCCGACGTTTACCATCGGTGTGCCCCTTCACCACCTCCGCCGGCGTACAAGAGGGAGCCACGGGAAGAGAGCGAGCCCCTTCCAGAGCCCCTGCTCTCATCCGCTTCGCCCTTCTTCTTTCGGCCCCGCACCGGTTTTTCTTAACTGGAGGTGAAGCCTCCTGCCGCGCAGCCGGGCCGGCTTCACTTCCGGAGCCCTTAAGAATCCCGTCCGTCACCACCGTCCCAGCTCCTTCTCTCGGAGACCCGTCACGCGAGCCCTCCCGATATCCCACTTTGTTTTCTAAGTTTAAATTAAGACAGTCCATAGTGGTCCCACGAGCAGCTAGGGAATTACACGGTCCGCCCACGCAGAGCCCCGCATGCGTGGGTAAGGCTGGATACTCTGGGGTTTCGCCCGGTTCCCCAGAGGCATCGTTCGCAACACTGCTCCCCCAGTGACATGCAGCCATCGCCACGATGGCTTACAACTTGGCTTGGGGAGCTGGTCCGCGGCAACGGTCTTTCCTTACCCTCCACAGGGTTTTACTTCCGTGAAGCCAGGTTATAACCGCCACTACCCAGCAGCACTGTCCCCTCAGAGAGCTCACACCTACTGGGCGTCCTCCTATCCGCCACCTTGGAGACGCGCCCGGTGGGTAGCTCAACCCCCGGGAGAAAACGTGTATACAGAAGTACCAAATACTCGAGAAAACATGGTGGAACGTATTAGCAGAGAGAAACCTGAGAGAGGCCACGCTGCCGTTTTCCGTACGACGCTTTCTCTAGGCCGTACGCTAGTGACGCACGTCCATAATTAAATCTGAGAGAACATTTGTAAAAAGAGAGATCAAGTAAAACTAAAGCACTAAAGATGTAGGTATTCTCATGTCTGCTCGCGTCTCCGCCATTTTTGTTCCATTCCTCCACTCCTTGCCCTCTCGCCTCTGTCGCTGAGCTGAGAAGTTTATGATGATTAGATTATGGCTTCTAAGCTGCTCGAACTCTGTGTTTACGTGTATTTTAATTATCCGACTGTGAACAAAAAAAAGATACAAAATGCCTTGCTGCGTTGCGATCAATTGTACCAATAAAACAGAAAAAGGCGCTCGATTATTGTTAATGTGATATAAAGTAATAAACTGAGCATGTCTAACTAGCTCTGGCTCTGTAGCTTGTTTGTAACGATTTATTTTGAATAATTCGAGCCGAAAAATTGTAATATCTTTATTTATTTGTTATTAATTCTTGTATTGTACACTGATGAAAGCCTAATGGCTGGCAGAAACGTTTGTTGTAAGCAAATTTAAAACGAATATATTATAACAATAATCAAGAATAAAAGGCGACAAGAGCCGTTGCAAGGTGTTCGTACATAAAATTCAAATTATATTATGAAAAATACAAATTACAATTACATTCAAACGTTTCTGCCTATGTTAGGCCTTCCTCAGTGACATTACAAAAAATACATAATAAATCAGTGTTTTGCTAGTCGAAACATTGCGAAAGTAAATAAATAAAAACCATAAAATACGCAGTGAGTTCTTTTTAATAATTAAAATCCAATGTATGAAGATAGTTTAAAAAAAAAAGACCAAAAATGTTAGTTTACACGGGCAATAATATTGTTACAGTTCCAAGTGTCTATCCTTCATACATTGGATTTTAATCATTAAGAAGAACTCACTGCATATCTTATGGTTTTTAAATCTTGATATCTTATGGTTTTCAAATTGCTTTTTTATTTATTTCTGTACGATTTTTTTTCGCCGAGTTATGAAGGTTTGAAGATGGCAACTTTTCGATGAGACTATGCACTGCCGAAATGGTGAAAAATCGACAATTCGGTGAATTATAATTATATTAATATTATATAT